AATTAGTTTGTTTACAGCAGCTGTTAATGTGAGACTACCTCAAGTGCATTTAGCGATTTTTACTATGGAAAATTCTTGTTGTACACGATTTTTTCACCAAACACGGTACCACTGTCATCGCTCAGGCACCATATTATCCAGATCTGGATCCATGCGAATTTTTCCTGTTCCCGAAACTCAAATTGCTTCTTCGAATTAAGCTTTTTGAGTCGATTGAATCGGTAAAAGAGAATTCGCTGAAGGAACTAAAAGCCATACCTTTACAGGCTTACGAAAAGTATATGGAAGATTGGGTTAAGCGTTGGCATATGTGTATCGCTTCAGAAGGAGCATATTTTGAAGCAGAAAAATTAAATTTAAAATAAAATTTAAATTTGTGTGTTTTTGTTTACAAAATCCGCGTACTTTTTGAACAGAAGGTACTACAGTTGTGGAGTTATTACGAAGAGTATTTACTAGCATGGTTAACTTGGAATAATTCGTTTATTAGACGCGATTATAAACAGAATCTGAGACCAATTTCTTAACGAGGTACTATGCTAAGATTGCGAAATGTTTTTTTGATAAAATGAGGCCAACTTGTTTACTGAAGCCTTCATAACGTTGAGCTATATTTGTATTGAATTGATTAATACAGAAAGAATTTAACAACTATTTGCATAATATTAACGATATGATCAGATCATTAAGATGCATCTAATGATTACTAAAAGCACTTCGTTTGGTCATCTCGTCTGATTTGTAAGTGCCGAAAATATTCTTATAGCAGAGAACCTAAAGTAGAAATATATTAAACTACTTTATTTACTTAATCAAAGATGCATAACAATTAAGAACCGTTCCAGATGGACCAACTTGCATATAGATATCCCAACATAGCATTTAATATTTGCAACTTTTCTTGAATTATTCAATACAAAAAGATTTCAGTAATTATTTGCATGATGTAAGATGTTTCGGATGATTGCTCAGATACGTTATTGCGTTCGACAGTTATATCTGTCCTATAATAACTAAAAATTATTAATAGATGGAAATGAAGAATGTCACATGGGTGCTTTCTTTGCAGCAATGCATGACTCTGTTTACCTACAATAATTATTTTTAAATGTTATTTTCAATTTAAGTTAATTATTTTCAGTTATTTTAGATACATTTACGCTGTCAAATTCCTTTGTTGTAGAATAGCTAAAAAATTTTCAAATTTTAAATGATTAATTTTTGAAGTCTTTGTCATAAATTTCTCCCCAATTTTTGACTTCATATTTTGGGGTAGTTCAGGTGCAATAATTTATTTTAGGTAGCACGTGCTATTTATACTCAAATTTGCATTAAATTAAGCAACACTTTTAACATTTTTTACTGCTGAAATTTTTTTTTAAATTTTTGAAACTTTTTTTCGTTACACTAAGTAGATGGATTCATTGTGTTAAATATTTTAAAAGTGAGAACTTCACAAAAACTTACGTTGAATGATTTTCCTTCTAGTTGAGGTTGTGATATATATACATATTATTGTTAACAAAACTAGTTTAAAAATATTTAACTCTATTGTTTCGAATTAAAATTGAGAAACAACAATAATTTTAAAAATTCAAATTAGTTAATTTACCCTCAGCTGTAAATTTTCCTTAACAAAAAAATATTTTCCCTACGAAATTTAAATTTGTTATTCCCCGTTGAAAAGTTTTTTGCTGTATATTTTTTGTATGGTCGCCAAGTGAAAGTTTTATTCCAAAATTACAGATATTCTCTAATTTTTTTTAAGTATATGCTTATACAACAGAAATAAGTTTGAATTTGCGGCATATATATATTTAATGGGTAAAGTTTTCATGTAAAACTGTCACCAAAAATTAGTTACTGATTTACTGCTTTTTAATGAGACATGCAGAAATTGCAGTAGAGCAATACCGTAAAATAGTAGGAAAATACTTAAAATTTTTTTAAAAAACATGGAAAATGGATTTTCGGAAAGTTTGTAAAGTATTTATATAGAAGTAAGGAAAATTGAGAAAAAAAATTAACAATCTAAATATATACTAATTTTATTAGTAATAATATTTATATACTAAAATTATTCATGTATGTTAAAACCTAAAATTTGTTGGTGTATATCAATCAAGTTGATATCAAGATACTTGCCGTTTTGATTAGTAATACTAAAAATTACCATATCCATTTCTTTCGTATATTTACTTTTGTATTTCATTGAAATACATTATTTAATATTTATTTGTGCTTTAAAAAACTCTGCGTATATATTTTTAGTGTCTAAAATAATGTTTTTTCTTGTCTTTTTATTTAATTAGATATGACATTCTCGATGCAGATATTTAAATAAAAACTTTTTAAGTGATAAAAACGGAAACCAATTCGTTATATAAATGTCATCAAAAATACATTAAAAAAATATTATTTTTCACATACAATAAAATAGAGAAAATGCAATATATAATTTTTAAAATTGTGCAGAAGTAAAAATTTATAAAAGAAGGCAAAAATATTTGAATCTTCCTCGTAGAGCTTGATTATATGCAAAATTGCTACCACGAATATTGCAAAATAATGCATTACTTTTATTAAAACAAAAAATATTTCTGCGCATTCATTCACTGAAATTGCAGCATATCCATATCACATTTAATGTGTGTGGTATATGCAGTATATGTGATGGAACACACACGGTCTTTACATACCAGACAGGTACTACCATTGTGTTCACCACATTAACATTTGAGTTTTTCGTTCCTTTACTCTTGCCCTTCTGATTTAAGTACGTTCACTCTTCAAATGATACTCACAGTTCAATTTCTGACTTAAAGCATTTTTAATATCCTTAAATTTTTCATAAAATAATACTTTCAGTAACTAATATCCTTTAATTTCTTTTTGCTAATAGTTTGAAGTAGTCTTAACAGTTGTCTGAATTGAGCAAAAATATTGCTTTAATATGTAATCGAAAAAAGACAGGCGTGACTATTCCGAGTGATTAGATAAACTAAATGAACCTAATGAGTCTAAGTTCCTTGAGTAACTGCAGGAACTGATGATGATTATGAATGATAACTAGTTTCTTTTCCAAGTTGATCAAGTTGAAGGATCACTAACCAGATATGATGTACGAGACTTGAAAAGGCGTGCACATAGCAGAGGTGCCTGGAGAGACCGAAACTTGGTAACGGATTGTTTTGGCTAAATAAGTAGAATAAAAATAAGAAAGAACAGGGTATTAGCTCCCATTTGAGCAGAGCACCGCGACCATGATTGATCTTTTGTGCTACAACAGACTCTCACTGAACAAAAGACATTCCGCCCTTCGAATGAAGGCCAAAATGTCGGTTGTTGAGGACCTCCTAATGTCGGAAGGTGCCAGCAATTCCCGACCCAGTGATCTCCTCCTGGCCCAGATCAAAGCTGGGCAGTCACATAGAATGTGGCTGGTTGTCTCCTATGCCTCCCAGCAGAGTCTACAATCTATCTCTTCGGATGGCTAAATAAGTAAGTAAGTTAGTATTAGTTTCTTTTTATAAATTTATTTCATTTATTTTTCAAAAAAGAAGTCATGTTCTATTTGCTTGTTAAGAGCAATAAGTAAAAATATGCAAATATTTTATTAATTTTATTATATGTCGTTTAAAAACGTTTACCTGCAAATTAAAATTTTTAAACTTAGTTGGCTTATTAATTGAAGTATAAATTTCATTCAAGTTTAAATTAAATAAAATTCATTTTTAAAATATTTTGGTCTTTAACATTACAAAATTTCAGTCTTAATCTGTTTCCACCGCTATTTCAAATAATCAACAACTTTTGTAAGAATAGCGTTGTGTTCAAAATTTAAATCCAGTTGTGTACATCTAGACTCAGTCCAATAAAATGAGGAAAGCCGTAAACGTTTGTGTTTGCAACAACTCTGAGAATTGTTCAAGGTTCGAACTATTGGGTTGGTTGAATAATACTTTGTGTACAAATTTGCAGAAAATAGAACAATTAAGCAATGGTGCGGCATACTGTCAGTTGTTTGATATGCTATTCCCCGGTGTATTACATCTAAATAAAGTGAAATTTGGTACTAACATTGAATATCAATATTATAAGAATTTCAGTCTTTTGCAAAATGGCTTCAAAAAGGTCAAAGTTTCGAGGGACATTCCTATCAATGAACTTGTGAAAGCACGATTTCTAGCAAATTTTAATTTTTTACTCTGGTTTAAAGTGTTCTTCAAAGCCAACTCTACAGAATATACAGTATTGGATTATGATCCAATAATGAGAAGAAATCGTTGCTCCATAATTGCAGAAACGCCCACTAAACACAAAAAAACAAGGAGATCAAGATCTGCATCGGTATCAGCAACAGCTTCACGTCTAACTATTGAAGGGCTGAATATAAAATCTAGTGATCTAATCGATATGGATAAAAAATCTAGTAATGTACATGTCGTAAATAAAATATCTAGTAGTGCACCAGCTGTGAATAAAAAATATAGTAAGATAAAAATCGATGTGGATAAAAAATCAAGTCACATACTCGATGTTACAAAGTTTTCTAGCCAAACAAAGATGTTACAAAGTTTTTCTAGCCAAACAAAGTCACTATTTCATTTTGCGAAATAAACCGTACAGCTGTCTTAAATGAAATATGTTCTATAAGAATGACATCAAGCGTTGTTCAAGACAATATAAATAGAATATAGAGTATCAAATCATCTAACTAGCAACTGTTGGTCTAAATAAATCGTTATACAGTATCATCCTTTTCTTTCTACTTCCAGTAAAAATGTGTAGCACTTTAAATTAGTGGGGTAAAGTATGTTTTGAGTTAATGATGCCAGGTAAAAAATATACCTTATTATTATTTTTATAACTTTTTAAAACTTATTCTATAAATTTGTGTTATAAATACAGTAATAACAATAAATAAGTTTAATAATAATGACACCTACATTATTATTCATCATTATTTATGAAACCTAATCACTTTTTTACTAAATCCAGTCGATTCCAACAGCACTAATCATAATTCTATTATGATCTATTTTTATTATTATTCTGTTATTATCCATTATTATTACTATTCTATTATATTATTTATATTATTTCATTTATTATAATATCATATAGCAGAATCATTTAATCATTTAATTAATTTCATTAAGAGGATATGATTTTTATGTTATTACTTACAACGTAGATCTTAATTTTTTCATTCTAGTAAGCTCCACTATATGTTATTATATTATAACATAAAAACCCAATATCTCCCTCTCATACAATGGTTTTCCTTTACTAATCGATCAAGGGTATACACTTTTAAGTTATGGAACTCAACTTCGCTAAGAAATATACATTATATTAATTTATTATATTTTAAATTATATTTTATTCCATTAATTAGTAAATATAATATTTTTTATAATGGCTTGTTTACTTTAAGTAGGTAGCACTTAAAATGTTAAAATTAATTTAAAAGAAATTTAAATAATTTAAAAAAATATTTTATATAAGTGTATCTAATATTATATATTATTATATCTTATATTGTTTTATAAAAAATTGGATCTTATTTAATATATATTGTAGCTTATTTGTATATTAATCATTAAATTTTCCATTACATATATAAACTTGTATATATTATGCTGCATGCGACGAAAAGTAAGGGAACAGAGATATTATCTTGTAATTTACCAATGCAAGTGACTTTACATGGAACGATTATGTATTGTAACTTCAGTGAATTATCGCTTTTTTGCACTCAGAAAATAAAAAAAATTGAAAATGTCAGAGAATGTAGTAAGTTTCATGTTCGCTTTATATAAAATTTTTAATTATTATGCAGATATTTATTTTAAATTTTAAGTTTAGTGCCAATTTGACTTAAGTACGGAATATCCATTATTAAATGGATTTCAATTGCTAGTCCAACTCTTTAATATGAAGGGAAAATATTTAAAGTCACGGCTTATAATAATAGATAAGTGCTTTTATTAAACTGTATTATATTTATATTTATTTTAATTAAATTATTTGTTGAATATGTAAAATGTAAGGCACTTATTTCCTTATTGTGAAATTAAGGTTTTCATGAAAATATTTTTAGGTTATCAGTTCAAAATTTTTATAGGTTTTCTGTTTTCCAACTTTTCGGTATTTTTCGTAAGTTGTTATATACTTTAGATTTTTGTAGAAATTCTATTTGGAACTTCTTTTATTTTAGTTTCACATTGAATTTTGTATTTTGTTCACTAAAGTTTATACAAAAAAAAAGTTCATTTTAGATTAAAATTAATTTTACTTTAAAGTTTTTAGTTTCTTTAAAAGTACGCTAAGGTTCCCTAATGCACTTGAGTGTACTTAAAGTGCCAAAATGTTTTTTACTTGTTGGTGGAAGTAACGAAACAAAAGTTTTCCTAAAGTAAATTTACCCGGAGAATAAGTTTATTTTGTTTTGTTATTATTGTTTAATTTTATGGTCAAAACTTAAATTTACTTTCATAAAGTTTATGACAAAATCAATGTTTATTTTAATTACTTGAAAAATAATTGCTTTTAAATCCAAGGCATTTGCTGCAGTCGATTTCATGCCAAGAATTGCCTGTCATTCCCTCAGTATGGCATGAACAAATTGATTTTCTGTCATTTTGTTATAACTTTTTGTAGTCCAGATAGCCCTGATAGTCCTCATAGTTTTTTGGTACTGAAAATGCTTGCTTGTAATATATAGCGAAAAAATTGATTATAAGTGGCTCCGGGAACTAGTTTTCTTCGGCAATTCTACGGTCTTAAATGAGAAAATGTCAGTGGTTCACTAATTTTGTGTGTAGTTTATTAGATTTTTTTCAAAAAAATTTATTCTATATTTGTAAAAATAAATAAAGTAATCTCACAAATAATTTAAAGTTTCCCAGACTTTCAGAACTGTGATCATAAAAAACTCTGTAAAGATAAAGCACAAGTTTAATTGGTATATTTATTTTATTTTATTGTCTGATGGAGTTTATTTTAATTTTTATACTTAAAATATATTACGTATACTAATAAAACACATTAGTACACAATGTATGTAAAAGATAAGCCTGAAATTAATATTAATAAATTAAATGACCTTATTTAGATTAACAATAAATATAATGGAATTTAGAGAATTAAATATACATAACGTAATAACGACCTTAACTCTTTGACTGTCGACTGCTCACTGCCACTTAACCATTGCTACTACTAGTGCTTGACTACTTAACTGCTTCACAGGCTTCTATCTAATTGCTTAACCGGCTTCTATCTGATTGCTTAACCGGTTTACATGTATATCACTCTGAAGTCACTGACTCAATTCTTTATATTTATGGGAAACTAACTGAAGATCAATTTATCTAACTTATATTTAATATTGTTTCTTGTACACTTATATTAATATAATTAAAACATTAATAATCTGGATTTAAAATCATATACTACTAGGTGGGCACGAAGTAATGTCGCATCAGCAAATAACATCTTTAGTAAACACCAATCTGGATTGTCAGAAATTTTAAAATCTAATTAAATACAACAATGCATGTCTCTTAGAAAAAAATATTTAATTTCTTCAGGTAATTTAAAAAACTATTAAAATTATTAAAAATGATTAAATTATTATTATTATTATTAAGACCAAAAATGACTTTTCACCGAATTTAAATCTTTTATAATAAACAATAGGCAACCTATAAGCTTAAGACTATTACAATAGCAAGTTATATCAAGGACTTTTGTTGTGGGATATGCAATATAGCCATGGCAAAAATATCTAGAATTTGATTAAAAGACACCTACCAAAACAAATTTTCTTCGAACTTTACAATGTCCTTAACATTGGTACTGTATATAAAGCATTTCATTTATATTTGTTAATCATAGTACAGGCAACGTGAAGTTGTGACTTATCCTCATTCCAATCCTATCGAAGCTTTAAGGTTACTTACAACGCAGTTCTGAAGATGTTTGATGAAGTTTGGATTTGTGGAATTTATTGTTGGTAGAGATTGTTTCACAACAGCAACTGTTAGAGCAAATGGAAAAAATCTTTATAAAATCTTTAGGTGCAGAAATTAATGAAGATTTTCATACTTCATGAAACTGATTTGAATTAAATTTCAGTTGGTGTGTTACCTGAATAATCAAACAATAGAAGATGGTATTACGTATTATTTATTACATTTATTTATTATTTATTACATTATTTGTCATACAAATATAAATCTAAATTTCTATGTATTGTAATAGATGGAATTTTATTAAGAAAATTGGACTGTTGAGTTTTTATTATGCATGCCGACGAATGCACCACTTTGTTTTTTACTACAGAGCTCCCAAATTCATGAACATCCATGTCTGTGGCACGACAATTGAATAGGGAATAGTTATGGATGTAAGGAAAAAATGTAAGCAATAATTTTGTATCACTTTAATTATTAAGATTAGTTATACACTCACATATATTAAATAATAAGTACATAAACCAAAATAATTTTAATGATATTAATATAAGTATTTTTCAATGTAATAATTTTAATAATTTTATTTCATTTTAGCTGAATTGTTTTCAGCTCTTAAAGATTAATAGATATATAGAAGCTTCAAATTGTTTTCTATTAATTTAAATAAATTTTAGTGCTAACATTTAAAATATTTAACTAACCATAATCCCATTTAACTGCAGCAAAGTAAATACCGCATTTCCTAAATATTTCTAAAAGTGAACTACGTATAATTTATTAACTACATTAAACATTTATTTGCAATAAAATACAATATAAAATATATTTTGTTATTGATAAATGTTACTTGATAAAAATTACTCAATTAATATATGCAAAGTATTTATTTTAGCTTCAATTTAATTTTGCAATTTACTCGCAAACCGCAAATAATTCAAAATAGCATCAGGCATTGCTATATTCATTTAAAAATGTTAATGGATAAAACCAGTAATAATACATTATCATTAATTAATCTTATTACCAAGAGGTTTTAATGCAGACAAATGCAACGAGCACATAAAGAGTCAATTAATAAGCAGAGACCTCATAATATATGTGCCATGAAACCGTTTTTGCGGTTCAATTGGTAATTGGCGGGATAATACTTTAAATATATTTGAAAAATTAATTTTTTTTCAGAAAAGATTTGGTAAAAATATACAAGTATTATTTTTTAATTTAACTTGATTACTGAGTATATCCGTAGTATAGTATTTATTTGTAGTAGCTTGTAGTTATTGTTCTCAAGGACTACACATATATATGTTTTGAAGATTATACTTATTTACCATATAATTATGATTTCATTTATGTTTACAACTTAATTTTAAATATTATACGATAAATATTACTGAAATTATTATAATTTAATAAAATATATACATTAAATTTTTTAGCACACTTCTTTCAAAGACAATACTATGGATACTTTCAAATTAATTTTATTTTATTATATATTCTAATCAAGAGTATTGATTCAACATTGGAATTCTTTTAAAATTAGGGACAGATGTCAAGGCTTGGACTTACTTTTCATTTATTGATACACAAACTTTTAGAAAAATTTATTAAATATTGACAATTTGAAACTGGATGGATGCCATGTGAGTAAATTATACCATATAGAAATGTTTAACGATAAAATTTCAAAAAAATCTGTGTTAATGATATTAAAATAAGTTAATAATTTCTTTGTTTGATTAGTACATAAACTTTTTTTTTCCTAATCTTAATAACCACTTAGATTTAAGTGAATAAAAATAATATTGGAATTTATAATAATAACACGGATTTATTAAAGTTTAACATAAAAGATTATTTTATAAATTAAGAATTATCTTATGTAGATGTTCATACAAGTAGTGGTATTGACCACGTATAGTAATATACTTTCTCGACTAAAGTAGACATTCAAATCATAGTTATCCATTTCAAACTGTTATGTTAATATTTTTGGGCTTTGTCTTAATTGGAAAGACGAATATGCTAACAAGAAGCATTTACTCCGAAAGAGCCAAGTAACTTAATATCTTAACCGATTTCGCAAGTGTTTTGGGTGTTCGAGTGTCTGCTAAGAAAATTCAATTAATTATGTATATCATTTTTTTTGTGTTGCAAATTATTACTGTTTTAACTTTTATATTTAAAATTAGTTTCTTTTGTCATATTTGACTTTAAAACAAAATGAAAATAAGTTTAAAGATTATATATAATTTAAAATAATTCAAACATCCTAACTCAAAAATTTTTTTAAGACAAATACATCCTGCTTACATGTTTAAATATTATTTTTGTAGGTTTATTGAATTTTAGTACAAAAAACTATAAATATATTAAATCACAGTTCATGAATAAAACATTAAAAGTATTTATCAACATTACTCAGGAGTTGAATACTTTAAGTAAGAAGCTTAGTAAGATTAAATAAAATGCAAACAAAATTTTAACAAGAAAGTGACAAATACCAATTATCCTTTTGCAGTTAGAATTTCTAGAGAAATTTTCTTGATTTATTTTTACTTTATTTCGAAATGTATTTTATTAGTTTGAGTGGATATTAGATTCTGTCTGTAGTGTGTCTATTTTATTATTTTAATTGTCAACTTATATTTTATTGAGAGAAAATATTTCTATACGTTTGTTAATCCTATTGAGATTTAATAGTATTAATTTTAAGGATTTATGGAAAGACACAAAAATTTTAATTCGACTTTTTAAAATGTTGATACGAAACAGATTGCAAAAAATCATTTTGTAAATTCAAGTGATTATTACAAATGCTCTATTTATAGTAAGGTAGAGATAAATATTTAGTTTAATATTAAAAAAAAATACACAATTAAAAAAGCTAAAAGCAGAAGAAACTTTTAACATATATAAATATTTATATAAATAACTTTTATTTGAAACTATGTTGACAACCACTATTTTAGACAATAGTGGTTGTCTACAGTGGTTATATACAGTAAATTCAAATCTGGTTTTAAATTATTTGAATTTTTGTTTTGTAAATATATACTAATAATACTAATAATGCAATTTACTAATACATCACCTGAATCTGCAATTACAGCCAAAGAGTTATTATTAAAGTTTTCCAACACTTTTTATTTCTTGCTATTTGTCTTAATTTCTTAAGCGGTCTGCCCCTGCGTCGTATTCCTTGAGAGTTTAAGGTTAGCGCAGTTTGCGTGATGTCATTATAGGATTTATGTAAAGTATGCTCTATCTACCCATATTTTCGCTTTCGTATTTCATCGTTTATATTTATTTGGCCAGTAAGCCTCTATAAGTCTCTATTTGTTCTCGTTTTGGGCCACCAAAGCCGAAGTATGTTTCGCAAGTAACGGTTTATAAACGTTTGTAGTTTAGTTTTTGTTTCAGCTGTCATGAATCATGAATTAGGTCTCAGATCCAAAGAGCAGAACGGACTTTATACACGAGTTAAAACTTTTTATTTTTACGAGTATGTCTGTGTGGAGACTGTTGGCACGCCATGTGTTTTTAAGTCTGGCCAAGTCTGATCCACGCTTAATTTGGATTCGAGCATTTATATTTTTGTTTTGTGACTCCATCTATCGAAATAACGCTTTCAAAGTAATTAAAAGGCAAAGAGTTGCCGTTGAGTGAAGCACAGTAGTAGTAGTACTAGTAGTAGTAGTAGTAGTAGTAGTAGTAGTATTTTAGCTTTATTTTACTTCATTTTATATATGTTGTATTACATAAAAATGTATAACAATTATATTATATATATATAAAGCTTACAGCTTTGGCATTTTCGTCGTCTGTCGAAAGTTTAGATTAATCTTTTAACAACTTATCTTAAAAATTAAATAAAAATTATTACTAATTAATTTAATTATACAATATAAGCACAGTGTAGTCAACTATTTTACTTTAAATTAAATAAATAACAAATGATTTAAAATAATGTATTTATATAAAATAAACTATACAATCTCTCTACATAATCAGGCTTAATCTATCTTTTCCTTGACTTTATTTAATATTAAAAACTTACAAATTCGAGCGATTATATATTCAATATTAAGCTTCAAAAAAACAAAAAGTAATAATCCTATAATATCACATATTTTTTTTGACACTGAAAAATATGTAAAATGAATTTGTACATTTACTCTTTGATGTACGGAAAAATAATATTAAATATTGTAGTTGAACTACAACAACCATTTCCTGTTTAATCTACAAATTTCCTTTTTCCGTTGCAACGATTTACGTTATTCATATCGGACAATGTCAATTTTCCAAAAGAAAAAAAAAATTATATGCAATTGTTGTCAAAATTTTATTTATTGCACTTCAGTTAAAATGATGACCCAAAAAAAGACACTGGCCAGAGACCAATAAATCAAAATGATCGAAAACATACATGCGGGCACATAAAATTTGATTCAGCCAAAATAACAATAAACCTATTGAATAAACTTAATTAGAGCCAGATAACAAAGAAATATGAATACAAAAGTGCTTAAATTTACTAAAATTTATAATACAAATATATTTTTTATAGCTCGTTATATCAGTATAAATAATTCACTATTCATGATTAACAATAAAACAGACTGCAAGTAGTCAATCAAGCTTTTTATATACTTTTAAAAATTTACTTCTCGAGTTTTATTATACTTTAGTATAAAAAAAAATTCTTTTGTTACGTAGAAATTAATTAAAAATATAATTAAAATATCTGGTTTAAATAGAATATATGTGTTCTAATACTATATTAAAACAATTGAAATACGTTTCATACAGGCAAGATATAAATTATAATTTTGTATACATGATTTTGACATACAGCAATCAATTTACAACTTTGTATTTAATATAATTTTTAAACGATTAGAAATTTAACAAATAAAAAAAAATATAATTAATTAACTAATCAATTATTCCACGGCTGGTTTATGATTTCGTTCTACTATTAACACATCAAGTGAATTTGTTAATAAAGCTTTCATAGCAAAGTAACAAAACTCCAGAAAAATGTGCGAATATAAAACTCAGTTACGACTTTGGATCAGTTGGTTAAGGAGCGCTGACTCTGAGCTTCAAATTTGTACGAGTACGAGTTCGATTCCTGGCACTTGTTGTTTCAAAAAATTATTCACGAATAATTAAATACAATAATCATTTCTAAGACCACTGATGATGGGTATTCGGCAATACTCGAAACAGCTGTATGGTCATCCAAAAATTCAATTAATTAAAATAATATAAAATGCATTTTTGTTGTTGTAGTTCACTACGGTTCCAAAAACCTCTTTATAGACAATTAGAGTAAAAAAAGTAATAACACTCGATTAGTATCATTGCGAGTCTAAATTTCAGGCATTATATTCCATATATAGTCTGAATTTCAGGTATTATATTCCATATATATATATTCTATATATATGTAGAAGCTAGTAAACAAAATTTTTTTTTAAATGAAATAGTTTTTACAAATACATACTTGATTTAAAAATAAAATGCAATATTTTCAACGTTTCAACTTATTAAGTGACATTTAAACAGCTCCTTTCGGATAAATATTTTCACTGATCAACTTCAGATACTGTTAAGTCGTTGCATTTTTATGTAGCACAAAAGTAAATAAGAGATGTAGAAAAATTGTCACTGCAAAAAGTTATAGTATAAATAATCCTACTTGCACTTGTAAATGGGTCGTTGCTTTCGCTTTCAGCTTTAAATGTGCGTTTCAGATACTCACGTCTTTAAATATTTGCAGCACGTACAATAACTGCTCTGCGACAAAAATGCTATGTCTGTAACTTCAATTACTTTATGCTATACTATATTACATTACTTCTTTCGGTTTGTAGTTTTAGTTTGAAATTAGGTTAGTGTGATTTTTTATATAATTTAAATTGAAGATAAGTTTATCAACATTTTTGTCAAAGCATTTCAGATACTTTTATAGTAAATTCTTCTTCAAATATCTTTAGTAAATAGCAATAGAACTGCTGCAAGTATTGTGATTGTTCAGATAGGTTTGTGTGATTGTTCAACTTTCCAAATATACGATTTTTAAATAAAAATCTTTAATATATTTCCTTATTGAAATGAATAGTTGTGTAGTTCAGTTACATACTATATAATGAGATTGGTGCTTTAATAGTTATTTACAAAGGTTGATCATTAAGTACACGTATTTGTATGTTATATTTTGAGTTGTGCATTATATAGAAAATAAATTTTATTCAAAAACATAAAGTATATTTAGAACAATTTATTTTTGTCGTTTAAAGACTGGACTACTTAAGTAAAAATAATCTATAATATATCTAATGAGCTCTATTAGTAAAGGATAAAAATCTATTGCTGAGAAAAAGAAGTTTTTACTTTCTTGAAATTGGAATATTACTTAAATTATTAAATCAAATTTTAATATCAGTTTAATTTTTATTAATATTAAAAAGAGTTTCGTAAAATTCAATTATTTGTGAAAAATGAAATAAATTAAATTTATTAAGCAACAAATTTTCGTTCAACCAAAAGGAATTTAAACTCAATTAAGTACTTGAAATTGATTTTAAAATTTAGTTTCTTTTTTCAATTCAAATGCAATAACATAATTTATTTAGCTTCTTCAAA